AGGTTTCTCAAGAGGCAGGTCAGGTGGTCTGGTATTCCCATCTCTTTCAGAATTTTCCAGTTTATTCTGATCCACACAGTCAAAGGCTTTGGCATAGCCAATAAAGCAGAAATAGCTGTTTTTCTGGAACTCTCTTGCTTTTTCAATGATCCAGTGGATGTTGGCAATTTGATCTCTGGTTCCTCTACCTTTTCGAAAACCAGCTTGAACATCTGAAAGTTCTCAGTTCACATATTGCTGAAGCCTGGCTTGGAGAATTTTGAGCATTACCTTACTAGTGTGTGAGATGAGTGCAACTGTGCAGTAGTTTGAGCATTCTTTGGGATTGCCTATTCCTGTTATGTTAGTGTAAACTTCCTTTTGGCTCATTTCTGCAATAATATTTAAGAGCTAGTTGCATTACATGTATAAAAGTCTATTTTATTTATTTATTGAAGAATAGTTGCTTTCCAACATTGTGTTAGTCTCTGCATCACAAGAAGTGAATCAGCCATGTGTATACATATACTCCCTCCCTCTTGGACTTCCCTTCCTCGCCACCCCCATCCCACACATTCTGTCACCACAGAGCACTGAGCTGAGCTCCCTGTGCTATATAACTAGTTCTCACTTTCTATCTTTTATTATACATAGCAATTTATATATGTCAATCCTATGCCTCAATTCATCCCACCCCCTCTTCCCTCCCCGTGTCCACATGTCTGTGTCTCTATTCCTGCCCTGCAAAAAGGTCATCTATACTGCTTTGTGTGTGTGTGTGAGTGTGTGTGTGTGTGTGTGTGTGTGTGTATGTGTGTGTGCGGGCCCATGCATACACGTTAATATATATTTCTCTTTCTTTTTCTGACTTAACTTCACTCTGTATGAAGACTCTAGGTCCATCCATATCTCTGCAAATGACCAATTTCATAATTTTTTTGCCTGAGTAATAGTCTATTGTATTTATGTACCACATCTTCTTTATTCATTCATCTGTTGATAGACATTTAGTTTGCTTCCATGTCCTGGCTATTGTAAATAGTGCTGCAATAAACACTGGAATGCATGAGGCTTTTTGAATTATCGTTATCTTGGGGTATATGCTCAGTAGCAGAATTACTAGGTCATATGGCAGCTATATTTTTAGTTTTTTAAGAAATCTCATACTGTTCTCCATGGTAGCTGTATCAGTTTACATTCCATTAATAGTAGAAAAGGGCTCCCTCTTCCCTACACCTCCAGTATTTATAATTTGTAGATTTTTCAAATTATGTTTTTAATTGATAACACAGTCTCCAATCTTTTTCAAAATGCAAATGTAAAACTCAGTGGAATAGGTTTGTCTTACAAACTTGTCTGGGTTTTCACATTTGCATGGCTATTGATCAGATGAAAACATTGAATTGTTTTCATAATTACAAGGTTGGTTTATCATTTGAATGTTAATCGATGTTTGAAAATAACACTAATTGAAAAACTACAGGAGAATAATCATAAGGGTATCTCAACAGGTAAAGAGAAAGCACTTTAGAAACTTCAACACATTTCCAGTATAGAATAACTTAGCAAGGAATAGGAAGACTCTAGTTACTCTGATGGAAACAATCTACCAAGAAAGACAGAAAGCTTTTTGTTGAATTATGAAATATTGAGAGTTGTCCCTCCTAGAGAGAATACACAAAGATATCTTCTTCACCATTCTGCTCAACTGTACCAGTGGACTAGGATAAGAAAAAATCTTACAAGATAAAAAGGCTGCTGACTTCAGACTATACTACAAAGCTACAGTCATCAAGACAGTACAATACTGACACAAAGACATATCAATAAAGATCAATGTAACAAAATAGAAAGCCTAGAGATAAATCCATGTACCTATGAATACCTTATCTTTGACAAAGGGGGCAAGAATATACTATGGAGAAAAGACAATCTAACAAGTGGTGCTGGGAATAGTGGTCAACCACCGGCAAAAGAGTGAAACTAGAATACTTTCTAACACCATACACAAAAATAAACTCAAAATGGATTAAAGATCTAAGTGTAAGACCAGAAACTATAAAACTCCTAGAGGAAAACAAAGGTAAACACTCTCTGACATAAATCACAGCAGAATCCTCTATGACCCACCTCCCAGAATATTGGAAATAAAAGCAAAAATAAACAAATGGGACCTAATGAAACTTAAAAGCTTTTGCACAACAAAGGAAACTATAAGCAAGGTGAAAAGACAGCCNAAACAGTATGTGCTCCATTCTAAAAATACAATCACAAAGAGACTCAGAAGCTATGCATTAGCCCAGTCATTCTCAGCTCTTGACACCCATCAGAGGCGTCCTGGTGGAGTATAAAGACTGTGTGGTCCCAGATGCCCTGGCTCCTCTTGCTTCCCTCCTCTCTGACACATTCTGACATCAATTGATCCTGGGGTAGCCATGGCTCTGATGTCCTCATCTGCTGCAGCCCCAATTTTCAGGTCTAGGAATTGATTCTATGAAGGCCTCTCCTCCCTTTGTAACCTCAGAGCATCTTTTGACTAATCTACTTCTAAGAGTGACAGATTGTTCCCTCCAGGGGTTCAGGTCAGTTCAGTTCAGTTCAGTTTAGTCACTCAGTCATGTCCGACTCTTTGTGACCCCATGAACGGCAGCACGCC